CTAACGTACACACTGTGGAGTGTGATGTCATGGGTCCTGATGGCTGGTAACTACCTCAGGTATGTTCTACTTCATACAGTTCTACAGGGGAGCCCAACGTGCATCAGTTCCAAGCTTTTCAACAAGAACCACCGTTGTTTCCTCCCTCACCTAAGATGGGGAAGTTGCGTGACGAGTTACTTTAGAGTAGCCTAGCAGCTCAGGTGCGGAAGATACCTAGGTAGTCAAGCCATCTGACAAACACATGCTGATGGCTCGCGTTTCTCTCTTGAGGACCGTTTACTACTTCAAACCCCACGAAGCAAGCTGCACTCCCTAAGCTTTGACGTGGGTACGTGGGGCGATGTCAGCGTTGCAATTTTCTTCAACCGATTGGGGCGCCTCGGTATGTTCAGCATCTCAACCAAACTCACCGCCACATCTTGTTGAATCAAATCGTTAAGATGGATCGCAGATATGTCGCCCCCCTGCCGACCAATTCACAACGGGAATGTTGTCAGGGCCCTCGCGGAATCAGTGTCATGGCATTACAACATTGCTACATCGTCCATAGTACTGTACTATCGTTCCACATTCATTTCGTCAGCAAACGAAATGCTGCAGTATTCTAACACGCCTTTTCGTATCTTGTCATCTCGTGCTTCTCCTTGTTCCGCTCTTCCGCCCACACCTCAAAGGCTGAAGCATGCATCGCGGCACAGGTTTTCTTGTCTATGCTGATCTCAAGAGCAGAGCGAAGCCGAACCTGGCCGAGTTCACATGCTATTGTGCCCTCGGCCATCACTCCTGCACGGCTGTCCAAAATGGGATAGATGACGGCCGTCATCAGCGTGCCACCAACACAAGGTTCTCACGCGGATAAGCTACGCCCAAAACTTGCCTCTATTCCGGCAACCTTGCCATACTGGCAGCCACTACTTGTTCGCATCCCTATTGCTTTGCGAGCTCGCGCTCATAGGTTGTGTCGTCGGCAATGACATCTTGGAAGCCTCCGTCTGACGGATTCTTGCCCACGCGTAGACAATACCGCTGATGAAGCCAACAACAATAGCCGACACACTGCCAAATGTGACAGGGGCGTCGAAAAAGACCAGACCACTGATGGCAATGGGAAGCTTGTTGAGTGCGCCAACCACAGAGTATGTCGTTGACGAGGTGACACGAATGCACCATGCAGAGCAGTAGGAGATGAAGATGGCGCAGAGTCCCGAATAGATCATGCCGACAAACAGGCTGTTGCGCGACTCGACGGGGAAGTTCTTCTCGATGTTTGCCGAAGACCAGTCCTCGGCAAGGAATGTGCAAACGATGAGGACGGGAATCGTCAAAAGGTTGTTGTAGAACATGGCTTTATAACACACTCGTCAGTAAATTCTGCCAATTAGGAACGCCTGGACGTTCAGGGTAACCCACTGTCCCAGTCCTTGAAGTTCATCTTCTTGATAACTTTGCGCATGCCCAGCACATAGGCCGCAGTGCAGCAAACGTTCATGCCCATCCACGCGTACCCAGCGTTCAAGGTCGAAACGGCGGCAGAGGCTTCGGCAGACTGCGACCCACCTCCAAGAGCATGCTGGACATCAGCCCAGGCGGCAACAACGGAGCTGAGGACCATCAGGCCAAACGAGAGAAGGGCAAGAGGGCTGACACTGCCGCCGAACCACAAAACCTCGCCGTACGCGATGACGATGATGGTCAGATTCTTGAAGATGGTGTATACCGGCACAGAGAGAAATTGCAAGGCCTTGGTGCCCGTGTAAATCATGCCAACCAGGAGGAGTGCGATAGGGAACCCTGCAGATAGTAAGCTTTGGCCGATGCCTGCATCACGTGAGACGAGACCAACATTTCTTTGCCTTGTCAGTGTCGAATGGCGCCAGGTTCGTAATCATTCCGAGGTTCTTGCACACGATAATGGTAAGGATGCACACGATGGACTGGATAAGAGGGCTGAGTTAGAGGTAGTCGCGACTGGGGATTTGCCTTTGGATAGAACGCACCTGGACAGCAAGGTAAAGAAAGTTGAGGTTCCAGAACTGGCCTGAAACGACGTATTTGTTGACGACGGTCATGCTGATGGAAGAGAAGCAGTAGGCGAGAATGGCAGCGCCGGGACTGTTGTCAATCTTGCTGATTGGCGATCCAAGAGTAGGACGCGGCCTTGGGGGAGGCCGAGCCAGAAAGCCATCCTTCTCTCCAAATGACTCGGAGGAGCGGAGCTCGTAATCCTCGTTCTTCTTGTCCGTCATGATGGCGCTCGGTGTACAACTGTCTGGACGGTATATCAAATTGGCAGTAGAAGCAAGCTGGCTTCAATAGGTTTGGCGCAGGATGCAGCCGTGGAGCTTGCGAATGCGCCGAGATTCGGTAACGGGGAGAGTCGTGTATGACCGGCCTCGCAACTGCGACGAGGTAGAAGGTAGTAATAGGTTGATCGAGTCGTAGCTGCGGTCCTTCACGCTTCGTTGTTTGCGGACGCGGTGATCTGGCTCTAGGGGAAGCGTTGTTGAAGATCTGGGGTTAAGAAAGAAAACGGAGGTTAAGGGGGTCAAAGGCTCTTGGGCATTAATTAGAACGGACGGGACGGGAACGCAGGGGAACACGCGTGCGCCTACCCATCAAGGGTCACGGAATTTCACCTCAGATTGGATGGCCTTAGTGCTTTCTACAGGCCAGGTGGAGAATCTCGGGGCACGTAAGCTCTCCAAATACCGCCCGCGACAGCCCAGTCAAGGAGCCATGAAAGTATCTTTGGTAAGAAGGGATGAATGCAAGGGACCACTAGACACCTGGCAGACCCAGGGGTGCACCATTCCAATTCGACCACAGGGCACACAGTAAGGGAAAGTGTCACGCTGCCTCACCCTGTCCAGTTTTTTTTGTCTGGGTTTTTTTTCCTTTGCTTTTTTTCTTGTTCTTCAGAATTACATAAGGCAAGACCGCAAGGTTGGCCCCTGGCGCTGTCTTTCGGGATGGTGCCTACCTATCCGTATATGCCTAGGTACGTGAGATAGCTCCCAAGGTCACCTCAACCCCAGGGGCCAGTGTACCGACCTGAACGAAGGCCAGCGTTTTTCTCGTCCCGTCAAGAAAGAATTGTATGATTTCTGCGCAAGCCAAGATAACTTGACAACCAAAGTTGCCAAAAGTTCATTACGTTGCCAAGGTACCAAGTTCCTTCAATCGCGCTCTCTTTCAGTTATGCTTGGCACCGAAACTGCAAAGTGAATGTCAATTGGCTGACGCATGGGTAGTCGTACCCCAAGCTCATGTGCCTGCCCTGTGCTTTCCTTCTTCCTCGACTCGAAATAACCTCGGATCCATCATCAGTCCACCCCCACTATCGCCATTAACGACCTGAACTTCATCCCTCTTCCCGTCCCAGCTCCCGCATTTCCAATTCAATACCGTGGCGCCGATATCGAACCCATCGCATTTGTCACCGGGGCTCGCATTTAAATTTCGGAAGAAGAGGCCAATCCGAAATCACGCCCTGAAACGGGGATTCTCTCACAATGCTCTTCATCGGTCTTACGGGCTCCATTGCGACGGGCAAGTCAACCGTTTCCTCCATCCTCTCCAAGCCCCCTTACTCCATTCCCCTCATCGACGCCGATGTCCTCGCGAGGAAAGTCGTCGAACCCGGATCAAAGGGATATGCCGCCATCGTGAAGCATTTCCTCCCCACAACCCCGGACCTCCTCGTCCCGGTCTCAGAGACCATGCCCGAGGCCGGGCCCGACGGCAAAGGTCGACCACTCAACCGGCCCGCCCTCGGCAAGCGCGTCTTTGGCGACACGGAAGAGCTCAAAAAGGACCGTGCCGTACTTAACGGCATTGTTCACCCCGCCGTTCGCTCTGAGATGTACAAGGCCATTCTCCGTGCCTATGTCACCGGTCACTGGGCTGTTCTCCTCGACGTTCCCCTGTTATTCGAAAGCAGCCTCGACCGCCTCTGCGGCACCGTTTTTGTCGTTGCTGTCAAGGACCCCGAGGTACAGATGCAGCGTCTCATGGCCCGCGATCCTCATCTCAGCCGCGAAGACGCCGAGAACCGCGTGCTCAGCCAGACGGATGTGAGGCTCAAGGCACGGAGATGTGAAGCCAGAGGTGAGGGCAAGGGCGTCGTACTATGGAATGATGGCTCCAAGGAAGACTTGAAGAGAGACATCGGCGAGGCTATCCGTCACGTTCAGGCCTCCAGCCCAGTATGGTGGAGTTGGCTGCTTCTGGCGTGTCCACCAGCAGCGGCAGCCCTTGGGGCCTGGCGGTTTTGGCAAAATGTTCGCATCAATAAGGCATGGGCGGAGCAGGAAAGAATTGAGAAGGCAAAGTTGTAGGCTGAGCCTCAACAACACAGTACAGTTCCCGGTGACCTCATCACCAGGCTCACTCATGATCTTGAATGAAGGCAAGCGTCTCATGGGTTTTCGGTCACATATGCGAGCTTCATTGCCCCGTTTCATCGCTGCGGCATGTCTAAAAGCACAACTGCTTGCTGAATAAGACGGGTGAGAAGATGGCACCCAGAGGCATCCAATGGCGAGGCTCCCAGGTGTTGGCAACAATACGTACTTCCAAGGCCCTCTCCCGTCGTCAGCCGCCCTGCAGAATCGAAGATGACGTGTAGGCAGAGACAAGAGTACCCCCAACGCTGGTTCTTCAAAGCAGGCGAAAGAGACTCGCGTGTATCATGGGGACAACTTCAAGGACCTGCAAGTACGGACGGGTACTTTGCCAACGTCAGCTTCATTCAACAGATGCCTCGTCTGTCTGGTCTTGCAGTCTTCTCTTCTGTGATTTGTATTCGCTTTCCATCACTTCAAAGGGTTTCCCCTGCTCTCTTGTAGAAGAATGTCCCCGATGTCTGGCAAAGCTTGAAGCACCGAGGACTCTTTGCGCATTGGAGTCTACGAGAGACAGCACCCACCACTCGCATCTTTGCCGTTGACACAGAAAAACAAAGAACTCAAAATTCACTCAGACTCAGTACACAACTCCTACGCAGTTACCTGGCCAGGCGCATCCTGCCCAGAGTCGGCCATGCTTTCATCTTGATCTGCTTGCGCCTCCTTTCCCTCCCCTTCATCAGGCGGAGCGGGGAAATTTAGATGTTTCCAATCCTCCAATTCTTCGGTGACGGACCGCAGCCTATCACGAATACTCTCTATTGCATAGCTCCCCAGAAGGAGCCGCAGCGGGGGATACGAGCAATGAGCTAGTTGCCAGACGAGCTCCGCACACTTGACGGCGCTTGTCGGCTGCCGGTCACCGAGCCACTGAACCATTCTTTTGGCATGCAACGCTGGTGATGTTGCCTGTGCGTAGGCATCGCTCGCAGGTTTGATGAGGAAATGACCCCAGGTTGGTAACGGTGTTGCAAGGGTATCTGGCTCGTCCCTTCTGACGAACCCCGGCTCTACGAGTGTTGCCTTGACGTTGAATGAGTCTGTCTCGTAAAGCATAGCTTCTATGAGTCCCTCGACGGCGTATTTGGTAGCACAATAGGGGCCGAGGCCTGGAACACCCAGAGCTCCTGACGTCGAGCTGAAAATCAGGTAGCGGCCGCCGTTCTGTTGGCGAAAGTAAGGTAGGCTGGCTTGGATAATGTTCAAAGTGCCCATGAAGTTCGTCTCGAACTGATTGCGGATTTCGTGCTCATCCTGGTCCTCACATGCTCCAATTACGCCATAGCCAGAACAGTTGGCTACGACGTCAAATCGCTGGAACCGCTCCAAGGTCCGTTCAATGACCCGCGCTACCGAGTCTCTCGCTCGAACGTCACACAGCATCCCCAAGCAATTTTCATTGTCCTGCTGTGCTACCATTTCCTCCGGTGTCGTCTCGAACACACGGCCCACGGAAGTGACGAGATCTCCTTTGGACAAGGCGGACTTGACAAGAGATCTACCCATGTGGCCGGTTCCACCAAATACCTGCACAGGAAGTGCTCAGTCAATGTCAGAAAGTAACATTAGGGTGTCCCATCACTTACAACCCAGACCAACTGCTTCCTCTCGCCGTCAAGTTGTGGTGGATCACAGCTAGCTGGGAGTTGAAGCTTCACTCTTGACGGTCCATCCGCGGGAGTCGCGCTGTTCTCGCTACACACGTCCATCGCGCTCGTTTCACAGTCGCTGGGTGGTATTACGAGCTCTACGTAGCTCTGCTGATAAGCTCGCGGCCTCTTGGCAGTCGGTATGGAAGCAGTCTTCAGAGGGGCAATCGTTGCAGCTCGTTCGTTACGGAAGAGAGCTATTAGATGCAATATTGATGGTAAGATGGAAGAAAAGGGAACGGTAAAATGCCGGTGGCTTTAGGAAGTGAAGATATCCGAGCCATTAAATCAATATAGAGCAAGACGAGGTACGGAGAAGAAACGTAAATCGAATGCGAGATTTCAGCTTGCTCAGTGCATCCACCTGTGAGACGAGGTGAAGGTCGAGGTAAGAATTGGTGGCCTTGGGAAAGGCCTACCCGGGCGAGGTACTTTTGCCTGCTCCAGTGATACCGAGACCGATGAGGGTGTGGTTGTTGAAGGCCGCAAGGTGACCAGTGCTGATTGCTGGATGAACCCGGTGATTTCGGTAGATGAGAACTGGTATATCCGTACCCCACTTCCCCATATCCCCTTCTTAATCCCGGTACATGCATGAGCGGCTGGGTAACCGTATAACGGTATGTCTCTATGCATCTAAAATTGGCTTCTGATGCCAAGTTTCACGATCCTCAGCCACGGGATGAATGTCGGATGATTCTCGCGTCGCCTTCTCATGACCGCCAAGGTAGGTAGGAAGGTAGTGCTGGATGAGCCACTCCCATTCTCCGCTGTCTACTGGTTCCAGCAGAGCAGTGATTGTTCTTACGGGTGAGCGGCCGTTCACAGTTGGCATCTTGGGGTTGGCAAGCCGGTCTTCATTTGATGGAGGAATTAGACAATAGGGACAAATCTCGTCAGATCTCGTCATATTTGCGCTGTGCAGTAGATGGAGATGTCAGCATAGGCATTACCCAGTCTAGCGCCTGTCTGCCAAGTCGTACATTGGTCAAAGAGGTGCCTTCGTAACGAGACTTGCTGTACTCGGAGACATGATTAGAGTGCAAAGGATCCCGCAAGTGGCACGAATCATCTCCATACTCCCACTAGATATCTTATCCACCTGCTTCGCTCATGCCCACAGACTCTCCCCCATGTACCGTGTCCTTAGCTGGTTGTTCATGCTGACACGCCGTTCTGAAGGTATTGCTCAACATATTCTTTCCTGTGCGGGTTCACATCAAGGTCCTTCGTCCTGTTCAAAGGGGTCCACTTGGGCTCATCCTTGAAGAGCCTCATTGCCTTGATGTACTTTGGACTGTTAGCAAACTACATAACCTCTGAATACATGCACTGCTTACGTTAGACTCGTCGGTTGTGAAGCGGTGGTAGATGCCAGGAGGCAGGATAATTAAGTCGTCCTGCCAATGGTCAGCTGGTTGCAGCGCCATTTGCCGACGAACATGGCGATGTTACCTTCTCAACACGGATACGAACCCAAGCGTCATCGGCGCTTCTGACGTCAAAGAAACCTTGACCGTCACGAACATAACGAATTTCCTCATCCTCGTGCAAGTGCTCGTGGAAGAAAGATTTGACCTTTTCCTCATAGATCTCGCCCATCTTCTCTGGCGACACAACAATCTCGTCTCGGTTCCTATAGCCGCGGTCCGAAGCCAGCTGGTTGACACCATCCAGATTAGGGATTTGGTGGTAAAAGACACCAAGCTTCTTCAGATCTTCGACGGTAACCTCCTTGCCAGAGTCATGTGCCAGGCGCTGGTCACCCTATGGTGTCGTTGATAGTCAGTGATTGATTACTACCGAGGACTCGAGCTTTGGTCATTTTAGACATTTTAAAGAAAGGCTTCTTCTCAACTTACATCAAGGCCGTCATACCAATAAGCCCTCATGTTGGTGAGTGGGTAAAGTATCGCAAGCCTGAGAGCTGTGCGTAAATGAGACTCAGAGGTTTTGTATGCCTGTATAGATGGCACTGTGAGTACTTTGTATCAAGAGTATTCCGCAAAGTAGAATATCAAAAGGTTCTGTGGTCAGCAGTATTGAGTTGGTGTTATTTCGATTGCGCTTTGGAGGCAGTAGGTAATGAGGTCGGTTTCACTTTTTGTATTTGAAATGACGCAATTGGTTCAGCAGGTGGGGTCATCAGAAGAGGTGCTGGAAATGAAGCGTGTCGTTGTCCGTCCGGCCTTACCTCTACTTGTACATAGATAAGTCAGGTTGCACGTGGGCGGGGCTGCCATAAGGTAGGTCATTCCGGCTGGAACCCACCATCGGCGCGCGGCAGCCCGGCCTTCCTTTGCGACCGCGCGTGGAAGTCAAGACGGCCAGAGTCAGAGCCAGAACCATCGCCCGAAATGTGAATTGGCTATCTCAAGGTACTTGAGGAAAAAGCAATGCTAGTCAAAGCATCTTGAATCACGACACATTAGAATGGGAAACACACGTTGCAAAGAGAACATGGATAACAATACATGACATTCTTACGTTGACCTGTGCTTTCGCCTGGGACAACTGTCGGGCGTGGAAGTCAGCTCTAAGGTATCTATGCTTATGGCGAATTCAAGCCTGAGGTGCTTCGTTGATGAAAATCATGCATGGGTACAAAGACATATGCCGCTTAATGGCGATATTGATACCCCAACGCCAAGAACAATGCAAATGTTGCTAATCCCACCAGCTTTTCCCATCTTCTTTTTCGTCCCCAATAGATTTGCCCAACATGTCCCATCATCGAACGTCAGCAGCAAGCTCTGGCCCTCCGGCAATGGCAATCTCATTGTTGATGCCATCAGCTGTTTCCTCCACCTGACGTCTCTCAAACAGCCTCCTCCACCAGCTTGGAGGGTCGAATGGACGCGACCCATTGTGCAAAGGCGGGTATACATCAGTAAAGAAGTACCAGATGTGACCGATCACCACGCCCATAATTTCATCCTTGGGAATAGAGCCATGGAGGATAAGACTGAAGGCCATCAGAACCCACGGTAGGTAGGGGGCTGTGAAGACCAGCAGTCCAAGAAAGCTCAATCTCGTATCCGGGTTACGCCGCGACCAAATATAAACGAGAGTTGAAGAGAGTGGGTGGCCCAAGAACGGCATCGAGACCATTGGCGACAAGAGAAGAAGACTCGCCATGGAATAAACGAGCAACCAGGAAAAGTGTGCTGGGGAGCGGCCAGAGGACTCTTCGAGTAACCGCGCGTAGCGCTGAAGGAAGTAGACATGGAATAGCAGATCGAGCGAGAATGGGCCGAAGTAGAGGAACGTAGTAAGAAGACGCCAGTACTATGAGGACATTCAGAGTGATCAGCAATAGTTCGAATGTCTTCGGGGGAGAGAACTAGACTGTGGTGGGGTTGCAATCATCGCCAACATATCAATAAATGAAGAATGGAAGAATTAGGCGAACCTGGGATTTGGCGAAGACAGCGCGAAAGCTGTAAAACAACTGAAAGGGAGTGACCATTTGACATTGTACGAGAGCGCTAGTCAGAACGGTAGCAGTCGTCCACCATCTGGTGCAAATGGGCATTTCCCAGAACCACGTCTCAAGGGGGAATCGGCCCCCGTCACCCATCATCTGGTCCATGCTGCGTAACGAACTGGGATGAGAGTGCTTCAGAGGCGAAGATTCGTCGGCAAAGAAGTTGCCCTCATTGCCTGCCGTGCCGGAGCTTTGCGGAAATCGAAGGGCGTGAAGTGCCGTCTAAGTATCTTGGTCGTCTGAGAGTGTAGCTAGGTTGAGGGGTTGCAAAAGCGTCGGGGAGGACGGATAACACTACGTTTGCGATGCTTGTCGATAGAAGAGACCAAGCGACTGGCCGTGACTACACGGAGGGACGAAGTTGAATCGGCAATAAATCGTCAGATACGTCGCCGGCTTGGGAAGTGACTGAGGTTAGAGAGGGTGGGAGCACGACTGCATGTAGTCAAGTTACAAGTCTGGAGAGGTGGCCTCTGAGTAACGTAGGTAGGTACCTAGCGGGTAGGAATTACCTAGGTAGGCACGGTCGGCACCTTGAGCGCTGACGAACGGTTGATGCCGGTCAATTTATTGCTGGAGGTGAAGTGGGGAGTGGGGACAGCTTGGCAACCAGTACTTAGCAACAGTGATCAGCCCCTTGTAAACTGGTGCCGTTCCTTCCCACAAGGTACCTTATTCGCGTACTTGTATATCCACCTCACATTACCTAGCGCTTCACGTGCCATCAGTAAACCCACAGCTATGGAAAGGGACCGCATCAGCCTCACAGTGCCGACTCACGCAGACAGCCCTGCACAGCAAGTGGTGCAGTACGCGTAAAGTGGTCTGGCGTAGCCAGGACACGCGTTAAGAAACACGCGAAACGCGTCCCGATCGATTTCCCTTGAAAATCGCGGGGCTGGTAGCGCACTACGGTTCAGGTCCTATCGGAATGGGAGAGTAGCTCAATTACTTTCATTATTCCTTCAACACCACCATTATCACCTCCGAGCTACAATCTCGTCCCGGCTTCTAATCCGTCAAACATAATAGATGAAGCTCAGTTGACCTTCATTATTCTGTCCCTACTGTCGCAATCCCAATTGAGACTTTCCTACGCTGCCCTCACTCTCGCAACCTTGTCTTGGCTATCGCACTTGTCCGGCCCTCCTCTGGACACCCACTTCGCCCCTTTAGTCAAAATAAGGATCCCCCGAGCAGACCTCTGCAAAACAGATTTCGGAAAACGCTACCTATCGCCATGCCTCCGAAGAAGAGACAGTCGGACGTTGTGCGTCGCAAATCGCGACAGAGCGATGTCCAACGTAAAGATTATGCTTCCCCGGTCGTGTAGGACGGGTGCTGACGAGGAGCAGCTGGCGATCCGATCCCCAATCGAGGCAAGCGACGCTACAGACCAGGGACGGTTGCTCTTAGGGAGATTCGGAGATACCAAAATGGCACCGACCTTCTGCTGCGACGTCTTCCCTTCTCACGTCTAGTACGTTCAGACCCAGTCAATACTCTAGGACACGACAGGCTAACCGTTCTCTCTAGGTTCGCGAAATTGCCGAGTCGGTAAGGCCTCGAGGCG